TATCCCCTGTGTGCCTTGTCGACTCAGTTATGGGCCATGTATGTTTACATAAACAATGATAGCGGCGGGCTCATTGAGTATAAACATGGGCCATGTATGTTTACTATAAACAATGATAGCGGCGGGCTCATTGAGTATAAACATGGGCCATGTATGTTTACATAAACAATGATAGCGGCGGGCTCATTGAGTATAAACATGGGCCATGTATGTTTACATAAACAATGATAGCGGCGGACTCATTGAGAATATGAGAGAGATTTTTCGCGGGGCCCCGCCACGCCCCCGCGCCGCCGCGTTCGTGGGTCGCGTTTTTGCGCACGCGGTCTCCCTCGCAGTCTCACACATAGCGCGTCTATAGCACGTCTATAGCGCGTTCTCCTTTCCACGCATAGCGCGCCCATAGCGTGTTCTCGCTCCTATGCACGCTACCGCCCCGCTGCCATGCTTGCTCGCTTACGCGCACGCTGCCGCGCCGCTGCCATGCTTACGCGGTCTCCTTCGCGCACGCGGTCTCCCTTGCGCTCTCGCTGCACGCGCTTTCGCCCATTGCGCGTTGTCTCGCTCATACTATGTAGGTTTTAGAAAAAAAATGTACAAGTATATTTATGAATACATAGACCAATATATTATAAACAAAAAAAATGTAGTGATTACAAAAAATATATATGAGAATCACCAGGAAGATATATAGTTTTACAAAATATGTATAAAATAAAATGAATAAAGTAAAGTCTCCCGTTTGGGAACGTTACATTCGCTTCCTGAGATGTTCCCTTGAACGCCAGGGGGATCGCGAATAACGCTTTCCGGGGAGATGCGAATGCCGGGATGAATAGCGTCCCTTTGATTTCGTAGAGAATTGCCTGTGGTGCCATCCGTTCCTCCTGCCCCTTCGCCTCAAGGTGCGGGGGCGTTCGAAATTGCGGGAAGGTATGACGCCTCCTCGAATGTTGCGTTTAAAAGGAGGCACGTAGAAGCCTCCTCGAATACAGCGTCGTCTCGCGATGCGACGTTTGATGGCTCTGCGTTCAGGGTCGCTGCTCGCGGCACCGCAGCTCGCGGCACCGCTGATGTTCGCGCAGCAAAACACTGGGGGATCCTAATAACAGATGAATAAAACAATAAAAAAGGTATCTCTTTAGAGACAGATAGTCTCTAGATTAGTTATACTTACTCGTAAAATGCACCTCTGCATAAGGTTGCACAGCGCGATCGTGTCTTCGTCATCGGACGGCACCAACGGGGATGGTGACGGTGGTTGCGACGACGTCGTCGACAACGACGACGACGACGACGGCGACGGCGACCACTTGGTTCGGTACATGTCGGTTCGCAGAATGTCGAACTGAGACTTGTCGCTCTAGCAAAATGACGAATCGAGACCAACTCCCGTGTATATACGTATACATCGACGGTCCTTTTGCTACGTGACACCGTTAGATAATAATAATAAGGGAAGAGGAGGTTGTTGAAAGAAGCGCCGATTTACGGCTGCTGTTTATAGACTCAACGAAAATGCGACGAAGGTGACGGCGACCACTTGGTTCAGTACATGTCGGTTCGCAGAATATTGAACTGAGACTTGTCGCTCTAGCAAAATGACGAATCGAGACCAACTCCCGTGTATATACGTATACATCGACGGTCCTTTTGCTACGTGACACTATTAGATAATAATAATAATAATAAGGGGAAGAGGAGGTTGTAGAAAGAAGCGCCGATATGCGGCTGCTGTTTATAGGCTCAACGAAAATGTGATGACAAAATGATTTAGACGAAGAAGCGGCGAGAGGTATAAGAGGTCATTAAAAGCGCGCGGTGTCACAGAAGGTGCCTCGGAAGTCTAATGAATCGGTCAGACCAACTCCCGTGTATATACGTATACATCGACGGTCCTTTTGCTACGTGACACCGTTAGATAATAATAATAAGGGGAAGAAGAGGTTGTTGAAAGAAGCGCCGATTTGCGGCTGCTGTTTATAGACTCAACGAAAATGCGACGACAAATGATTTAGACAAAGAAGCGGTCAGAGGTATAAGAGGTCATTCAAAGCGCGCGGTGTCACAGAAAGTGCCTCGGAAGTCTAATGAATCGGTCAAAGAGTGTGTCAAATGGCTCATCGTGCGAATAGAGTGCGCGAAGACGTGGAAGTTGATGTGGAGGATGAATCGGAAGGCACGTTGTCGTCCGATACGGGTGTCGTTAGTGATCAGAGCGAAGATCTAACGTTGCACAGGGAGAGATACGTGTCGCAGGCGGAACTCCGTGCGTTGACCGGGCGTACCAAGCATTGCATGATCCTGTGCTACTATTCGACCGGAGGTGCTCTGGCCCTATGCGCCTCCTGTATGATTCAGCTGAGAGACACTGAGCTTTACGGAATGAATCTAGTGTTGAAGCACGAGATCGATTACGAACAAGTGCTAAGTGGCCGATACTGCTCCAACTGCTGTGTGAGGATGTTTGTGATAATTCCTTGCAGCGTGTGTCCAATGTGCACGAATCAGAGCACGTAAAAAACATTAGCGACATGAAGAGGGTAAGGGTTATAAGCTGGAAGGAGTTCGATGTCATGTGCGTTCTCCGTGATTCGCATGGAGAGACCGATGTGCGACACGTATCGCCGGTGCAGTTTTTACGCAATCGGGAACTAGAAATACGCGGAACTGGTGAACGCTTCGCGAGACAGGGAGTCACAGTCGACCGAGAGCCCGTGCGTGAGTGGCCCCATCACGCGAAACGAAAGGTGTACGCGTGGTATCGCGAGAAAGCGTACGAGGACTACGAAATGTGTCACCCCATACAGCACAGAAGTTTGCAGCAATATTGCAGCAAAGTTGCAACATTGCATATTGCAATGCAATGCTTCAGAAACATTGTTAAAATATAGATTTGCAACATTATTTTAATAATGTTGTAACAATATTTAAAAAAAATGTGAAAAGAATTAACTACGATTTTGTGTTTAAATACTGTGTGTATACGCTTACGCACATCTTATAATCATTAAGTTTTATTAAATATCAATTAATTTTACA